CGTTAAACTGTTGCAAAACAATGCTTTGCAGACGTGTTGCAAATTGCAAAGGATTGTTATGCTTTGTAGACTTCGAAGCATTAGCACCGGTTGCCTATCGCTCCTGACTATGGCGCCCTCCTACGGGCCGAACGAATGGACAACGCGTTCGCACGTAGAAGTGCGGAACAGCATATAAGTGCGCGCGGTTACCCAGTCGAACGCGCCGGCGGCGGCTCCCGGGCGGCTCACATACGCGGCGTAAGCTGTCGTGGCGGGCGTTACCATCAGGCCTCGGCTTACGCAAGGCCGTCCTCCTGGAGCCGCGCGACGCAGCCTGGCGGTTAGCGCTGCAGACTCATAGGGTATTCAGGGCGTGGAGCCCACCTGAGTCTGTGATGGAGATTGTTGTGGTGACGGTGGGGAGTGAGGACACACAAGCTTCAACCCCCTCCCCCTCCTGTCCCTTCCCCCTTTCAACCCCCTTGATTTACTCTCCCAGAACCCGCGTGCCCCTCTTTCAGGACGTTACAGGACGTCCAATAAATGCCATTCCAGACCGGGAGTGGGGTGGGGGGTAATGCAAATACATCCATCATGCTAGGCGGGGGGTAAAACAATCGGATGGCGCTGATAGTGCGTTATGAACATGATCGGCTCCGGGCCAGAATCTATTGACTTTCCTCTCCTCGCCCCCGCGACCTCCCTCGCAACCTCCGCCCCCTCCCCAACCCCTGCTCCACCATTCTCGCCCCCGGGGTCGTCGTCTTCGTCATCGCCGTGCTTTGGACGCCCCAATGTTGATATATCGCCGCAGGGTGCGGCCGAAGGGGATGGAGAGGGGACTGAATTTTGGCTGCTTGGTCAACATGCCACATGACAGAGATGGCTGAGCCGGAAGGGTGCCAAAGGATTGGGTGAAAGGGTATGCGAATTTGAAGGGAAAGGGGGACGGGGTAAGTGGGGGTGAAGAATTGTAAAGGGGCGTGGACCGAGCGTTCCCTTCACGGGAGCTGCCCCTGGGGCGCAAGAGGGCAGGCTTTATTCAGGGCCACGCCATGAGACCGGGGCCGCCAAAAGCGCCGGCCGGGCCCGCGGGTCCTAGATGACTATGTGGTTGACCGGGGGCGGAAAAGGGGAGCTGGCTGGGGCGGGGGCGCTTGTGTGTGCCGAGGGCGACGATGCACGCCGTGACACCTGTCGGCTGTACGCAGCAACACACACGGCCTCGCCCAGTAATGTGTGTGGGGCCAGCGAATGGGTTTCTGCGTATTTCAACACTGTTGATCGTTTAAGTTTCTAGTTCGTTCAGTATCATGTGTCTCCTCTACTCTTAACACAGCTTTCTGTTTGTTTTTGCGCAGAAAACTCCTGTCCCTCCACATCATTGAGGAGGGATGCTATGAGAAAGACGTCGCCTTCCAGGTCTCATTAGGAGACCCACGGATCCTGGGTAAGTATTAGACGACAAAGAATGTAAGGAGGCGGTAAGAAGGCGTTCCTAAATAATCAAAATTTAAGCTAACTTTGACGTAACTGTCACGAGAACTACCAATTCGGCACGGTGCCGCGTTTCCTGGGTGGGTGTGGTATGGTCTTCCGCGTCGTGACTCACGCAGAGACTACACGCATTCTCGCAGCCGCCTGTCCCTCACTATCCTTCTTGTGCTTTTTGCAAACGACCAATCCCTCCGTGGCATCATCGTTCACGCAGGCGGGTGGTGGGTTTTGGGAATCTGTGCACGTTGGGTTCGGGCTCCCGCTCTCCTGCGTTTGTCGGCCGACATCGCCTGCATGCGAAAGTGAGATCATCGTGCGGCCTTGGAGTGCACAGCGCCACTGCGAGAAGCGTGCGGACAGCGATCGGTTTTCTCAATCTCAATATCGAAACGCGCTCATGTGTCAAAATACTCAGAAAGGCTCTTACTTTGACATATGTTGTAAAAAAAGAGGTAGATTTGCGTGGCCGAGTAGTCTGTAGAGGGAGGTGAAAATCTGATCAATGTAGAAAACGCTTCGCAGACATTTGAATGTGAGTCACTTGTTAAGAAATATTGCAGTATCACACCTACTTATTTTGTATTCCCCGCTCAGAAACGCTACAATGAAGCATTTTTGGCACCTTTTAGAGAAATAAATAGAAAACACAGCTAAATAATATTTGTCGCTAAGATGTCGACGCCAAACTCGTAGTTAAAAAACTGCCGTATGTTATATTCTGAAGTGGCAGCAAGTTAAATCGTAGAAATACACAAATATTAATCATAAGCATGCACCTGATGTGACGCCCCATGTTTCAGATGACGAGGAAGCTGAGGACGAAGTTCCAGGTACCACCTAAGAGTGACTTTGTGTGATTTCGTTGTGCGCTTTTGTAGAGTAGCAACTACACGCCTTACTCACATGGTTTATTTTGTGAGTCTGGACACCACTGGCAGCTGAATTTCACTGTAACCAACCAGAGCGAATCATAGCGTCATATGTAAAGTTATGACGGTTATTAAACATGTGCCGTGTGAGAAAACACAAGCCAAAGGGGCTATTCTAACAAAGTTCAAAAAGGTCGTATTTCGAATGTCATTCAGCTGTCAGCGGTGGCCGTGCGTGTGACTTTTTCATTTCCAGGCCTTTATGTTCTTTTTTCTTCCTTCTCTTTTTCCTACCAACAGTATATGGAAACAGTACAGGAGAGTCCGGAAACCAGGGGTGCCACGACAGAACGTATTGACAGTTTCACTTTAGAAGGGTCCTCTGTGTGTTAAATTGTAGAAGCGGATGGTTTTGGTTACTTCATAAATTAATAAAAACAGAAGTATCATTTTTTTACCCCCGAGTTTTGCAAACTGAACAGTCGACTTAGCACACACTTGCAGATGCGTTCTTGCAAGCACACATACGCAAATTTGTACGAAGTTGACTGTTTGGTTTGGAGTCTATTTAAATCACAGAAGAAGGAACCATTTTCATTTTCTGACCCCTCCCACCAGAAACACTTACAAGTTTTCAGCTGGATACAGAGTTCCCTAAAAGCGAGCGCGATTCTCACGCCAGGCGTGATTTTCATGCTTCGTAAGCTTCACGCATCCAATCAGGAACCGACTTCCATCACCCCTAGCGTGAGAATCGCGCTCGCTTTTAGGGAACTCTCTATCCAGCTTTACATTCCCGAATCCTTTCATCAGTGTCTGCATGCAAATATGAGAAATCGTTGTTTTTTTATCAACACGTTGAGTGTGACGTGGCGGTATTTTGTTTTGCCAAAGAGTGTCATCGCACTTGGTTTTCGTTATGGCATAGCAATGACCACATCCAAATCGGTTTGCACAAAATTTTCTTTAGTTTCGTCGCACTCAACCTGTATCACATTAATTATGGCTGCAGTATTTATTTGTATATTTGTTGTTGTAAAGTAACAGCTCTTCGCTGCTCCCTCTGCCCTATCCTAACTAGAGTGTTATTTTCCTTTAAAAAAATCTATCGCTTTCTTGTTTTAGACTTTGCCCAGAGTGGATGCAGATATGACGACCAACCGTAAAGCTTTTTCTTTCCATTCTCACCTTCCTAAACTTGTACGCACCATTCCTTAAGAGTTGACTTTGAAAATTGGTTAAATTGTTGTTCCTGTTTGCCTCTCGGGCTTAACAAGCACTGTATCATTTTTTCTTTCCTCGGCTTTCGGCTCTAATTGCAAGCTAAGGTCACTTATATATTTTTTGCTTCAGTGACCGCTGCTGTAATCAAACTTCGCAAAAACCGCTAAACAAATAATTATGGTTATCTATAACGTAAATACTGCTTTTTCCTTTGAGAACCACATAAAGTAGAACCTCCATACATGGTGCTGCGTATACAGTGGGCAGTGGGTTCAGTGTGCCCTAGGAAAGTCAGCAGTCGGCAGACAACCTACACGTGAAATGGGCTATTTTTCCGCGGCTGTGTCCCTTACGCGCCATCTATCGAGGTTCTACTGTACCGAGTGTAACTGTAAATACACAGAAGTGTAGATTGCATTCCCAATATGGCTGCAGGAGCCATGACCCCTTACTGGTGTAAAGATAAGGCAAACCCGCAACACTGTTGCGTATTCACAGTAACACCCGGTACACAATCGTAGTTAAGATAATTAACCTCTGTTTATACGTACTCTTGACTGTTAGGCTGTTGGGTGATCTCTGAAAAATTCATTTTTCAAAAAAGTAATCTTCCTACGCAAGAGATTACGATGTTGGTGGTGCACATGCTAAAATGGGTTAGGCTAAGTGAATGTTCTTGAAGATTTCAATGAGTGCATTTCTTGCGCGAAGGGTGTAGTGCTGGTGGAGAGACTAAACTCTTCTTACTGGGGCGCGCTCAGCACGCGGCCTGAGTGAGACGTCTAAAAGGATGGCTTGTTAACAAGCCGTTCATAATGAATGATCGTCGAAGGCGACGTCCCGCTGGAGCAGCGCGGCAGGAGACGGCAGGAGGAGGCGCCCCTCCAGGACTTCTAGGCCCCCTCCCTGGAGTGAGTGCCGGGGCGTGGCGGAGCGTAGCGGGCCGGACGGGGCGGGGCCCAGCACTGGGGGTGGCCTGCCTTGCTTCTCCCCAAACATCCGGCCGTCCCCGCAGCCTTTGCACGCGCCTTCCCTCCCCCTCCGCTGTCCGAAGCACCTGTTATTGTTTGACCACCTACGGAGCTCTCGGTGGCAGCCGGTACGGGTGGGTCAGCGTGCTGTGCCTTTACTCCGCGGCGTATTATATGAAATGGCTAGGGCCGTCTCCTCCTTGTCCTACCCGGTTGTCGGGAAAGTCAATCGGTACTTACAGCCCCCCTCCCACCTCTGGGGGTTGGTGGGGCGGGGCAATTCGGACTAGGACTGTTTTGGAGGTGGGGTCAGTAACGCCGGTCACGCGACCTCGGCGTAGTTTCGGAGCTCGCTTGCTCTTAAAATAGGGTAGAGTAACTTCGCAACCCTCCCACCTCAATTTCCCCACTCGTTAGGCCTCTAATAAGGTCCAGTAACCCCGACAAGTACATAAGACAATAAAACCGACTAAATTCGAATCCTTGTTTATCTGGGAGGTTCCGAACTCACGCCACTGTTATGACGCTCGACGCACTCGGACACAGCCCGTGTCGGACGTTTGTACGGAGGGGTTCTCGCCGCGGCTGTCGCCTCTCCTCCGGACAGGCCGCGTTTATGTGACCATATGGTGGGGCCCAGGGCCGTCTCTGCGGTGCGCTCGCCCCGCCGCCCACTCCACGACCCCCCATCGGGCCGTGCCGAGTGGGGCCGAGCCGCGCCGAGCAGCGCCGCCCAGGCCTCTCCACCGCCCGAGGCCTGCCCTGGAGGAAATTGAGCTCGTTGCGGTTCATTTCGGTTCGAGGCACCGAAATAATACGATTGGGGGAAAACGTAAGGCCGGGGCCGTCCGAATGGCGTCCGACCGGACGGAGAACGCGCGGCAAGCGTCATTACGCGGGGAGGATGGGGCTCTCCGGGTGAGCCCGCCCCGCCCCGCCCC